ATGAAACTTCTTTCCAAACTATGTCCTATAACTGAAAGAGAGATACTATTTAGGGTGCTCAGCTCAAGATCTGGCCACAGCAAAGTGGCCCAACAATGTCACTCCTGTCCCCTCCGCTCCCTTCCTTCTCATGAACATGGCACAATCACACAGAACTTGGTTCAAGGTCAAGTTCTGACTCTAACTTGCTGTGTGACTTTGAACATTCCCCCTAACTTCTCTGCTCCTCAGTTAAAAGGGGATTCTGCTTTGAGTTTGCTGTGTGACCTTGGGGAAATCCCTGCCCCTCTCTGGGCCTGTTTTCCTCTTTGCAGGTGCAGTTGATTCCAACTGGGCTCTTGCAAAGCAGCGGGGACAATTACTGTAGAGCGCTCAAGGCACTGGAGAAGTCCAGAAGTGGAACGCTGTAGAGTTTCTTTGCTTTTCAGTGTAGTGCCCACCCCCCAATCATGCCCCCTTGCCCAAAGAGTGCTCTACCAGAAAGTGCAGCCTCAGAGCGTGGGGGGAGGGCCGAAGTCTGCCTCTGGGAAGGGCTCAGAGCTAAGAATAAAATGGCAAAGGCTCTTGATATTTTTTTGTTGATCCTGGAAATTTAAAGGAGCCGTTAATTTTCTTTCCTCAGTACAGACAGTCACTTCCCATCATGTTCTCAGTGGTATGTTTACCAGGTGCCTGTTTTGTGCCCTACCCTGTGTGGGTGCTAGGGACTCAGAGTGAGGAGGAGAAGGCATTCAGAGGCAATCAGGGTGATGACAAAGTGAAACTGCAGCAAAAGGCTTCTGTGCTACACAGAGGGGGTGGGGAGAATGACAGGGAGCCTTAGCTTCTCTGTCTAATAGAGATCACTGCTGCTTTGTACTCTGTTTATCTAACAGCCTTAGCTTACTTCTCTGCAAAACAGGACACTTGCAATTCACCCCTCAAGTGCTGGTGAGATTCAGGGGAGCGAAGAAATAAAGGAGTGTGGAGGAAAGAAGTCTGTGGGATTTTGAAATCTGGATTTGCTGGGAACCAAGGTGAACCCCTCCTTCATCCTGCCAACTTTAGTGGATCCTCCCTGTTACAGCCACATCCCTTAGCTCATTGAACCCATTACAACCTGGAGCCACATTCTGAGGGTCAAGACAGAAGAGGGCCCCTCTCTGGTTAAGGATCCAAGCTATTTTCTTGGATAATCAAGACAGATCCTTAGGAGTATCCTAGGTGGGTGCAAAAAGGTTAATGCTCTAGGCTGCTAATAGAAACGTGATGGTTGTAGTCCACCCACAGGTGCATTGGAAGAAAGGCATGTCAATCTAATTGTAAAAAAATCAGCACTGAAAAGCCTGCACAGTGCAGTTCTTCTACACTGACACACATGGGGTCAAAATGAGTCAGAGTCGATTCCACCACACTGTTTTTGTGTTTTTTTTTTATTCTTAGGAACAATGCAGACTTGAGGCAGGAGAAAAGCACAGGAGAACCAAGACAGCCACCCCCAAAAGATGGGCACTATTCCAAGGTTGGAAGAATTTGTAATGGTCAGAAAAAAGATTATAGGGTTACTGTAGGAAGGGAGTGAGCTCCCTATACCTGGAGGTACCAGAATGCTTACCTTTTGGGGGTACTGCAGAGATTTCTGCCTGGGCCTATAGAAAGGGATCCATGGTCTTTGAGATTCTTTCCAACCCAGAATTTTTAATAGTTTTATTTAGAGGTCCCTTGACTCTGAGAATTTAACATTCTGAGATTCTTAGCTAGATTCAAAGATTCCATTAACTTCAAGTCTACTATATTGTATTCTATGATGATCGTGGAACGAGAGATTTCATTGCTGATGTCTGATGGATCTTGGCTGAAAGCAGAGAACACCAGAAAGATGTTTACCTGTGCTTTATTGACTATGCAAAGGCTTTCAATTGTGTGGATCATGACAAGCTATGGACAATATTGCAAAGTATGACTATTCCTGAACACTTAATTGGGCTCATGAGGAATCTGTACATGGCCCAAGAGGTGGTTAGTTATTCAAACAGAACATGAGAACACTGAATGGTTTAAAATTAAGAAAGGTGTGCGACAGGGTTGTATTCTTTCACCATACTTATTCGACCTGTATGCTGAACAAATAATCCAAGAAGCTGGGTTCTATGAAGAAAAACGTGGCATCAGTATTGGAGGAAGACTCATTAACAACCTATGATGTACAGATGATACAACCTTGCATGTTGAAAGTGAAGATTTACTGATGAAGATCAAAGAGCACAGCCTTCAGTATGGATTGCATCTCAATGTGAAGAAAACAAAAATCCTCACTATTGGACCAATAAACAACATTCTTAGGAATGAAGAAAAGATTGAAGTTGTCAAGGACTTCATTCTTGTTGGATCAACTATCAACATTCATGAAAGCATCAGTCAAGAAATCAAATGACGTATTGCATTAGGCAGATCTGCTGCAGAAGAACTTTTTAAAGTGTTCAAGAGCAAAGATGTCAGCTTGAAGACTAAAGTGCACCTGACCCAAGCCATGGTATTTTCAATAACTTCAAATGCATGCGAAAGCTGGACAGTGAATAAGAAAGACTGTAGACAAATTGATGCATTTGAGTTATGGTGTTGGAGGAGAATATTGAAAGTGCCATGGGCTGCCAAAAGAACAAACATCTGTTTTGGAAGCAGTGCAGACAGAGTGCTCCTTTGAGGTCAGGATGGCCAAACTTCGTCTCTCATACTTTGGACATATTGTCAGGAGGGACCAGTCACTGGAGAAGGATATCATGTTTGGTAAGGTGGAGGGTCAGAGAAAAGGAGGAAGATCCCCAGTGAGATGGGTTGGCCCAGTGGCAGCTTCAATGGACTCAAGCATGGCAACAATTGTGAGGCTGGCCCAGGATTGAGCAGTGTTTTGTTCTGTTGTGCACAGGGTTGCTATGAGTTGGTACGGACTCGATGGCACCGAACAACAACAACAATGATCACTTTAGGACCCTAGTCCTTATACTTTTCCCCTGATCTCAGTCTCTGTAATCAGAAGTCTTTGGACAGCAAGGAGGAGTGCTGGTAGCGCAGTGCTTGGCTGCTAACTGAAAGGCATGCAGTTCAAACTCACCAGCCATTTGGCCAGAGAAAGATGTGCAGTCAGCTTCTGTGAAGATTCCAAACCCACTGCTATAGAGTTGATTCTGGCTCATAGTGACCCTATGTAGGCTTTCTGACACTACAGCTCTTTAGGAGACCAGACAGACTCATGGTTCTTCCTTGGAGAGACTGGTGTGTTTGACCTGCTGACCTTGCGGTTAGTAGTCCAGTGCTTATCTGACGGTCCTCCTAGGAAACTCTATGGGGCAGTTCTATTCTGTGCTGTAGGGTCACTATGAGTTGGAATTGACTCAACAGCAATAGGTTTGCTTGCTTTTTTTTAGTAGCAGTGTTGTCTAACCCAGACAGACCTAGACGTTTGTCACCATCACCAAGGAAACATCCCCACTCTCCCACTGAGACCAGAGACTCAAGTGGTTCATTTGTGAGGTATTGGGATTCATCTGGAGCCCTGGTGGCACATTGGGTTGCTAACCAAAAGATTAGCAGTTCAAATCCACCCAAGGTGAGGCTGTCTGCTCCTGTACTGTGTCCTATGGGGACACTGAGTCACTTCTGTGTGACTTCAAGATTGGGTTTTTTATTTTTTTGGTTGGGGATTCATGGGCACTTCAGGATTCAGTGATATACCTGGAAGAGAGAAGATGCTCACCCCAATTTGTTGATTGAATAATTAATTGAGAATGATGTGTCTCTCTCTCCCCTCTAAATGGTGCCATCTGTCTGTTTCACTATTAAAGAAGATTGCCTTCTAAATAATGTTTTACCTATGGAGTTAGCTATAGGAGCTCTGGTAGCGTAGTGGTTACAAATCGGGCTGCGAACCGCAAGGTGAGCAGTTGGAAATTACCAACTGCTCCACGGGAGAAAGATGAGGCTTTCTGTTCCCATAAAGATTTACAGCCTCGGAAACCCTGTTCAGGATCACTGTGGGTTGGAACCGACTCGAAGGCACTTAACAACAACAACATAGAGTTATCTACTAACACACACACACCCTCCTTAGGATGCACATTCTTGAAGGCAGGGACTTTGTCCAGTTCTCAGCAGTGTCCTCTGAGAACAGTAATGAATACCTGAGCTTAACTCAGTCCTCAGGGGCTTATCAGTTGTGGGAGGGTGGATTTGATTGTGAGAGCTAGATCCTGTGGCAGGGAAACCAGATGGGGAGGGGGCAGGGATAACCAAGGTGAAAGAGAAAGCCAGGGAAAGCCAGCAAGGACCAACTTAGCACATTACATAGTCACATTTATGAGGCCCAGAAAAGAAAAAAGAAAAATAACTTGCTTAGAGTCACAGAGCACTGTTAGTTGGAGAGCCAGGGCCTTCCTTCCTGCGCATTCCTCCAGGCCCAGCAGCAGCCCTTGATCTTCCTTGGTGTCTCTGCCTTTATGACACCAAAAATTGGGCTTTTGTAAGGTACTGGGTCTGGTCTCCTTTCCCCATACTTAGCTTTAGCTGGAGGTCAGCCAAGGAGTTCAGGGTGTCTTCTCAAGTGTGACAATCTCCCCTGAAGCAAAGGAAAGGGGCCCTGACTGAGCAGAGACTCAGCGCGAGTGGGGAATGAGGGCCCACTTAAGTTTCAGCTCGAAAACGGTTTCCTCAGATGATGCGTTGCAGAAAGGAGTGGGCTACTACGGGTTGTCTAACTTGTTAGAGAGCCTGAGGGTCAGAGGAGGGTGCTGTGTTGGACAGCTGGGCCCTGGAGCCTGGTGTCTTCTCCAACTCAGTGATCTTAGTCGCAAGGATTTGGACTTTCTCTCTGATGGATCCAAGGACGCCCGCGTGCTCTGGCGAATGTCCTGGACCGGGCACCAGGCCTGACGCCGAACTCCCGGCAGCCCCACCGGCCACCGCTGAAGGGGGCAGTAGGACCCAGGGGCCGCGAGAGCGAGGGGGCGGGGGCCGGACAGTTTGGAGGAGGTCTTTTGGCTTTTTTGGCGGAGTCGAGGCGCCCTCCGGAAGCTTTTCCAACTTTCCAGAAGTTTCTCGGGCGGCCGGGAGGGGGAGGCCATATATAGATTCAGGGAGCGGGCGAACGAGTGGAAAGTACATTCCATCTGCGGCTGGAGAGTGAGCCTCCCGTCGCAGGGACAGCAGAGCTCGGCCCAGGTGAGGGGCGGGGGGCCGGCCCGCCCGCAACTGGAGCGGCCTGGGGTGCTCCAGGGGGTGGGAGGGGCGGATGGCTCCGGGAGAGGTTAGGGCCAGTCCAGGGCCCCTAAATTTAGTGTGTTAGCAAATGGTCGTAACTGGAGGGCGCTGCATCAAGAACCTGGGCGCGAGTGATGCGGGCAGTCGGCCAGAGGCCCAGATTGGAGGGGTGGGGAGGGGGGTGGAGTTGGGGACAGGGCTTTCGGAGGACCTGAAAAATGTGGAGAAACACTGAGGGATTTGGGGTAAGGGGGTGTCAGGAATGGAGGAGGAGGAGATGGGGTCTGGGTCAGCAATAGCATAGACCCACCAGCCATTCTGCCAGAGGTTTGCAGCCCAAGGTGTCTCATGAGCTTGTTGGGGGAGCATCTGAGCCTCCTGCTGAAGGTGGGGCCTGGATAGTTGAACAGAAGTGATAAAAGTCTCCTAGGTTTTCCGTAGGGTGGGCTCTTGGGGTCCCCATGGTTTGGGGAGTCACCAGTAATGGCTGCGTTTCTGATGTGATCTGCAGTGTGTAGATGGTGGCAGTTAAAGGAGGCCTTAACTAGCATCAGTCGCTCCTTCCCCCGCAAAATAGAAAACCGGGTGTGCTTCTTCCCCGGGTGGAGGAGGGGGAGCTGAGCAGAAGGCTCCTGGTCACCTACAACTCTTATTCTGGCCTCTGCTCCTTGCCATCGAGTTCCTGGAGTCATTGCAGGGTGAAGGCCACTTCCAGAGGCCGAGTGCCCTGCCCCCAGCCCAGAAACATTCCTGAGGCTGCTGAAGTGGAGCTAGAAGAATAAAAACACTTCTTGCAGGGCCCAAAGTCTCAGCTCCTCCTCTTCCCAGGCTTCCTGCTGGCCCCCCTGGGCCACAAGGCCCGGATGGAAGCCTAAAGAAAATTGAGGGGCTTAGGTTCCTTGGAATTCTGTGACTGGGCCACACCCTCCTGCCTGTCTTGGTTCATATGCCCATCCCCCCTTTCCCAGGCAGCCTGCTCCCTTTTGTCTCTGGTCTCTGGGATTCCCAGCAGAAATATTTTTGTACTGGATTGTAACAGGATACCACATACAGCTCTCAGGTGGGGCTATGTTGGGTCCTCTTGTAGGTTGCCTGGTCCCCTCTGGTCCCTGTGTGACCTGGGTTTTCTCCCTACCCGTCTCTGGCCTCAGTTTCCCTCACTATAGAACTGGGGCACGCTTTGAGGGCTGGCCCTTCCTGGTCGTCCTCACCCTTTTGCCCCGGGCCTATTCTCCTCACTCTTCTGTTTTCTTTCAGAATGAAAAAGGCAGGCAGTGACCCCCCTCTGAGGCAGTTTCAAGGTACTTTTTAGATTCCCTCAAGCTCCTGTGCAGGGTTTGAGACCCTTTGGTGACCCTTATATCTCTGCTTCACTCTGATTTAGAAAAGACCCAATCCAGTTCCAACCCAAGTCTCAAATGAGTCCAGTTGGCTAGCTGTGGGCATAGCCCTGGGCGATTTGATCTTGTATTTTTTTTGGTGGGACTGTAAATTGTCTAACCTTGGCCCAAGGGCTGGGATTTCTCTGTGGCAAGATGGGCTGAGCTTTGCTTGCAGTAACTTGCCTTCCTCTATTCCTGATGCTGGGTTTCATGCCTCTTAGACGTTCATCTTCCTTCATAGACTGATGTGCAGATGCAAAATTAAGGACCCAAGGAGGCTTCTGGAGTGTCATGGCAAATCTTGGGGACCTAAACTCAGGCCTCCTGCTTTTTGGGATAGAAGCCCCCCTCTGCTGGCCGGCAGAGAGAATTCAACTTCCTGGCTGCCACGTCACTGGGAGCAGAAGGGGGAGTAGGAGCATAGCTGTGCTGAGGAATCCCAAACTAGTCATTTGGAGCTTTCTTAAAAGCCCCTCCCAGCTCTTTGAGGTTCTGGTTGACTAGGGGTGGGGGCTGTCAAGATGGTGACTGCCACGTGGCAGGGCTGGGAGCCTGGGACTTTGATTGCCTCCCAAGGGGATACAGGCATGTAAACTCTGGCATCAGCTCTCTGGACTAGAGGTGGCTTTAGAGTAGGATGACCGTGCTTACTGCCCTGGTACAATAAGGAGTTGTTGTTGTTAAGTGCCAGTTCTGACTCATAGCTACTCTGTATAGGGTTTCCAGGGAGTGGCTGGTGAGTTTGAACCGCTGACCTTGCGGTTCAAAGTGATTTTGCAGTCCAGTGCATTATCCTGCCGCACCACACCAGGACTCCCAGTAAGCAGTTGTGTATCATTTTACTCTAGAAGCATCCTCACATGGATAACATAGTATATGGTCACTCTGCCTTTGCTGCTCTAGGTTTGGTGGGGAAGGAACTCAGGCTGGGAAGGAGACTCCTCCACCCCCTCCCATCTATACTTTAGGGGAAGACTTAGATCTCTCGTACCATCTCTAGGCATTTGTGGAGCTCAATATTCCCTTTGCTTCTCCTTTGCCCTGTACCTAAGGCCTTCTGAGGTGGCAGGCAGCCCAGGGAGGTGGGCATGGCTGCAACAGTACACTTTGAAGCTTCATGCTCCCACAGGCAGGCCAGAGTCCTGAGGGCTTTCTACCAGGATTCCTAATTTTCAGTCTTCCTTGAGGAACATGGGATGGGATCCCAGCCTTCCCTAAGCCTCCACCAGGGTTCCTTTTCATAGTCATCCCCTCTTCCATTCTGCTGTGTGAAGTAGAGGGGAGTGTGGAGGGACTATTTTATGTAAGGAGAGAGACTGTCCTGAATTGTACCCAGAGAGGGGAGTGGGGCTTGTCTTAGAGGCCACTGGTACTACTTGATTTGGGGAGGGGGCCTGAGGGCAGCCCCAAAGCAGTAAAACAGATGGCCTGTGTAGCAGTCGCTGTCAGATGGCAGATGGAATCTGGTGTGGCCCCAGCTTCCCGGAAGGCTAGACACGCATCATCTGGCCATTCTTTGGTGATGGTGGGATAGGGGCTGTCTTTACTCCATTGAACTGTGTGACTCACCCTCTTCCCTAACATCCTGTCCTTGATGCTCTCTAAGGAAACCACCCCCTCCCTCAACAAGTTTCCGGAAGAAGTTGGCCCCAGGACCTTTTGCCCTGGGAATTTCCCATTTGTTCCAGGGGCTGTGAACCAATGTTATTGTTTAGTGCCATGGAGTAGGTTCAGACACATAGCTACCCTGCATAAAGTTTCTGAGAGTCGGCTGGATGGTTTGAACCACCAACCTTACAGTTCAAACCGACCTTGCGGTCCAGTGCTTATAATACAATGATGCACCAGGACTCTATGAGCCAATGGGCAGGCCACATTTTTGCCAGGATAGAGTCCTTAGACCTGGAGATCCAGGTCTTTGCAGCTTGGAAAGGAAATTGAGGCTCAGAGACAGATGGAAACCGCCCCCTCCCCTCAGATATACCCTTAGGCAACATAATGGAGCATTTGGGCTGCTCCCATTTAATAAGTGAGCCAGTCAGTGACTCATCAACATCCCAGGGTAGAATGAAAGGCATGGGAGGAGAAGGGACCAACCTATAGCTCTGCCCTACTTGACAGCCCTTGCTAAGGCACCTATGTGTCAGGCAGGCCCTCAGCTATTGCTTTTTCTTACTGGAAAAGGGCGCCAGGGTCATGTGAGGTCAGGTTTGACCTCTATACACACTAGTGAGGACCCCAGGGGCACTGCTTTGCATTTATTCAGAACAGCTAAGGCCTGCTAGGCAGTAGGCACTGGGAATGTGGTGAAGAACTAGACTGTCTTCCTGAAGACACAGCCTAGTCAGGGACAGAAATAAATACATAAGAAACACAGAAATAAGGTGGACAGGTGGTGATTTGGTCAGAACCCTGCCTTGTACAGAAATGTCAGGAAAGGCCTCTGACATGGGGTGTGGGGTGGTGCAGACGGACTCCCCTTCTGGGTAGCCCTCAGTCAGGTCTGCGTGCCCCAGAACTCTGGTTTTCTTGTAGCCATAGCCTGGGGACTTGGTGGCAGGTAGAATGCCAAAGGTTTCAGGGCCACCCTCTCTCTGAAGCCCTCACAGGTCCAGCGAAGTGTACAAAACCCACCTCCCAGCCATGCGCTCTCTCCTGCTCATCAGCACCTTTTGTTTCCTGGGCTTGGCCCTGGCCGCAGAGGTGAAGAAGCCTGGGGCAGTGGCGGCAGCTCCTGGCACTGCGGAAAAGCTGAGCCCTAAGGCGACCACGCTGGCGGAGCGCAGTGCTGGCTTGGCCTTCAGCCTATACCAGGCTATGGCCAAGGACCAGGCGGTGGAGAATATCCTACTGTCGCCTGTGGTGGTGGCCTCATCACTGGGACTTGTGTCTTTGGGTGGCAAGGCAGCCACGGCATCGCAGGCCAAAGCAGTGCTGAGCGCGGAGCAGCTGCGAGACGAGGAGATGCACGCGGGCCTCGGAGAACTACTGCGTGCGCTCAGTAACAACACTGCGCGCAACGTGACCTGGAAGCTGGGCAGCCGGCTGTACGGGCCCAGCTCTGTGAGCTTCGCTGATGACTTCGTGCGCAGCAGCAAACTGCACTACAATTGCGAGCACTCCAAGATCAACTTCCGAGACAAGCGCAGCGCTTTGCAGTCCATCAACGAGTGGGCTGCGGAGACCACGGACGGCAAGCTGCCTGAGGTCACCAAAGATGTGGAGCGCACGGATGGCGCCCTGCTGGTCAATGCCATGTTCTTCAAGCGTGAGTCCTGGATAAGGCTGGGAGAGGGGCCTGGGGCCCAAGAGCCAGTGACAAGAGTTAGGATAGTACTCCCTTGTTGAGCATTTTGGTTTCTCTTTTAACTCTTCTTAACAGTCTGTCAAGACAGGCACTTATGAAACTATTTTTACAGACTTGAAACAAAGCTTTGATAGGAAAGGGATTCAAATTCGGCAGAGGTAGTCCAGAGGACTCCATCCTATGTCATTTATCAGATCAAATGAGATTGCTTATAAAATGCTCTGGTAGCGTAGTGGTTACGAATCGGGCTGTGAACCTTAAGGTCAGCGGTTCGAAACTACCAGCCGCTCCGCGGGAGAAAGATGAGGCTTT